CCCCACATCGGCCGGATCTCCGCAGATGGGGCCAGAGTTGCCCGCATCCAGATGGCCAGGCTGGGGGACCTTTGGGCTGCTGGTGGGAGGATCGCCTTGGACCAGTGCTGTAGGACTTGGCGGCTCCCCCAACCCTCTGAGCTTCGGCCTGCTGAACTCTGACCTCTGGCCCTGGCTTTTGCTCTGATGGTGGGGGCAGGTATGGTGGGGAAGGAGGGATGTTAGGATTTCTTTGGCCTGCAAAGTAGGTGGGGCATGAGTGCCTCAGGGCTGGGAGAGATGTGTGTCCATGTATGTGTGTGAGTGTGAATCTGTGCCTATCTGTTGACTGTGTCACTGTGTTCAATATTTTGTGTGCATTCGTGAGTGTGTAAATTCCTTACAGGGCTGTTGTGTGAACATGTCTGTTATGAGTTAACATCTTGGAGTGTGTATGCAAAAGGTAGATCTTTTTGTGTCTGTGTGTTTGAGTGTGTATCAGCCTTGTGTCTGTGTATGCTTGTGGTTCTGTGAATGTGTGTGAGGTGTATATCAGCTAGTGTGTGCATTTGTGCATTTATTGGTGTAGGAATATATCAGCTTTGTGACTGTGCATCACGGGGATATGTGAAGTTGTCTGAGCATGTTTGAACATTTAAGAGCGTGTACCTGTGTCTCCTTGATTGTGCAAGTAAGTATCTGTTATATGTGTGTGCCCTGCGTGCTGGTGAGTGTGCAAGGGCATATCTGTTATAGGTGCATGTATCTGGTGGTCTGCAAGGGTAAGCACATGGGTTTTTTGTTGTGTGTGTGCATCTGTGTATGTGAATGTGTAAGGAAAAGTCAATGTTGTACATGTGTGGTTGTATGCAGGTGTGTCAACCTTGAGGGTATGTGTCTAAGTTGTGAGTCCATTTATGCATCATTGTTGGTCTCTCAGAGTGAGGTTGTGTATGTTCAAACATATATGTGCAGGATTGTATGCACACACATGCCTGTGTCCCTGGCACAAGACTGACCCTGCTTCTGGGCCCAGTGAGGTTGGGGCCCATGTGGCATGACCTGTGCTATGCTGGGGTCCAGCCTGGTCTATGGACACAAGTGTGTCCACATCCCAGGCCACGAGCCAATGGAGGGCAGAGGGCACAGAGATCGTGCTGGTGTGTCCATGGAAATACAAGTGTAGAGACTCAGGTTGTGGACTCATGTGAGTTTTGGCATGTCCACGCATATTGGTGTGACAATGATATGATGGTGAGCATGGGAACCTCTGATCCCTCCCCAGCTCCTAGTACCACTTAGGTCTTTGAAGTTGGGGGGCTGGGATGTGAACTCTGGAAGGAGGAAGCTGGAATCCGGAATCTGAAGGAGAAAGAGGGTGGAGCCCAATTCTTGAATCTTGAGAATGGAAGGGACTGAGACCTGGGCTCTTGAGTCTGAGGGGGAGAAAGGTGGGGTTCCAGACTCTAGGGTCTTGAGGGAGGAGGGAGCCGGTGTCACTGGCCTCTTGAGACACCAGAGGACAAAGGGCTGAAGTCCTGGACTCCTGACTTTTGGAGAGTAAACAGTCCTGAGGCCAAGACTCCTTGGTTTCCAGAGATGGCTTTCAGAGTCCATCTGAGATTATGCAGAGCCTGCAGCAGGAGGGCTGAGAGTGTGGTCACACCAGGGACTTCCTTGGCTGAGATGGTCTCTGAGGCAGGTCTCCAGTGAGGAGCCAGAAGATGCTAACAGGATCGTTTTGTTCCTTTGCAGGTACTGGCCCAGGCCCTGACTCCCTGAAGAGAGGTGAGTGGGGTCCCTCAGGCTGGGGAGAGAGATGCGGAGTGGTTGCTCTTGTTCTGAGCCTTCTGGGGGCCTGGATCCCTACCTCGTAAGGATTTCAGTGCAGGGTATGGCAGTGTCTTGAGGGGCCAGGCGCCCCCCAGGCTAGGGGCGGGTTGGGGGCAGGGGCAGGAGCATCATGTTTGGGTAAGGGCTCAGTAGAGCCAGGGCATGAATAGCATGTGGGAGTGCCAGGCCTGGAGACATCCACTCTTGGGATGGGTAAGGTGGTCCGGAAAGAGGGGTTTCCTCATGATAGTAAAGGGTATAGGAGAGTTTTTTGCCAGGAAATGACCCCATGCATTTGGAGAGTGACATGAATGTGGTTTACCATTGTGTGTGTATGTGCATGTATATGGGTAGTCCAGCCTGCTGGTGGCTGAAAGACAGCCGGAGGAAAATAATATTAATAATAATATAAAAATAATACCAGCTGACATTTATGTAGTATTTACTCTCTCTAATCACATTACACTACACTATCTCATATAATCCTTACAACAACCCGATGAGGTAGGTATTCTTATGCCCATTTTGCAGAGGAGCACACTAAGGCGCAAAGAAGGGCAGTCACTTGACTAGAGTCATGCAGCAGGGAACTGGGGTGTGAATATAGGCAGTTGGGTCCAGATTCTGTCCCGCAGTGCTGCACTGCCCCTCGATAAATGTTAGCCAGTTTCATTGCTATTGTGGTTCCTTCCACTTGAGTCTCACCCCAGCTATGGGAGGCAAAGCTCTGTACTTCTGTGTCATAGATTGGGGTTCTGAGCCCAGGAGACCCCACAGCAAGGCAGGTGTAGAGTGGGGCCTCCTAACTCAGGAGTTCTGCCTTCTAGGCCAGGGTTTTCTGTCCAGTACAGTGTCCCAGAGGGAGTGTAAGACAAAGTAGTGGGGACCTCAGAGATGGTGGGACACCCTCACTCTGCCTCTTTTTCTCTCTTCAGCCCAGTCACTATCTCCCTCTGTCTCTGTGTCTCTGTCTCTTTCTATACACTTTGATTCTCTCTTTCTGTTTCTTTTCTCACTTCCTCTCTCCATCTTTATGTCTCAATCTCTAATTTTTGTCTCCTCCGCTCAGTTTTTCTGTCTCTTGCTCCCTGTCTCTTCACTTTTCTTTCAGATTCTCTCTCTTTTCTCTGTCTGTCTCTCTGTCTCTGTTTCTGCCAGTCTCTCTCTTCCTCTCCCTTGTCTCTCACTGTCTCTTCACCTCTCTGACTCTCTTGGTTCCTCCCCTCCAGTCTACAATCCCTCTCCCCACAGACAGAGGGATCAGGGCCACATCAGGTCACAGCCCCGAACTGCAGATTCCTGGGATGTGAGCCAGCAGGGACTGGAGTGCAGGGGGGGGGG